CGGAGCATCGCCGGGCACTCTTAATCCCCAGGGTACCGTTCTATGTATAGTACCGTTCTATATGTACCTGCCTGTAGAGCTTCAAGATCGTTTCTGCGGCGCGCCGTGGTGGAAAATCTGTGGCGGATCCCGGCGAGCGCCGGAGCACAGCCAAGATTTGATCAAGCGCTTTGAAACCTCGTTTGTGGTCGTCTCAAATGCCATCGCTCCAATGTAACGAGTCCTTCGCAGCCATGCAGGAGTTGTTAATGGCAGGCACCATGCGAGATATGGGCGGCGACGGCGGCAAGAAGTCGACCTGGTCCATGTCGAAGATGCAGAGAAATATGAAATGCCACGAAGTTATCTGTCGCGTCCTCGACGGAGACGGGACATACGAAGCTGTCGGGGGCGGCATGATGTGTTTCAGCGCCGGAGGCGCGCAGGGCCCGCTCGTGCGCGACATCCAAATCTGCCGGTGCGGCGATCGCTCGGGGCGCGAGTGGAACCTTCAGATCAACTCCGACGTCGAGCTCGTTTCGGACGGCGGTGCTCCGGCCGACGCCAAAGCGCTCTTCGAGAAGGCGCTCACGGAGGTGCGCGGCACGGACATCATGCCGTTCAAATGCGTGCGGGACGAGTGCCGCCGCCCATGCAAAAACCGCAAGTGCGCCCGCTGCAAGAATGTCGTTTATTGCTCCGCTGAGTGTCAAAAGAAACACTGGAAGGAGGGGCACAAGAAGGTCTGCAAGCCCGCCTCCTGAGCGCGGATCACAATTCCCTAGGCCCCGAAGCGCGTTGTGTAGTGCCCTCCCTTCGATTCCTCCCTTGCGCCGCGGCTAACTGGCGTAAAAAGCCATCATACCACTCGTACGACAATCTCCCGGAGCGTCGACCAGCCCCCGATCTTACCGCCTCACAGCGTCGCGCGGTGGTGCTCGCGGAGCGCGAGCTTCTTGGCCTTCGCGGCCTCCTTCTTCTTGCGGTTCTTCTCCGCGTTCGCGCCGGCCGCCGCCGCCGGCGGCTTCGCGGCCTTGGGCTCCCGGGCGACCTTGGGCCGGTTCGGCTTGCGCGCGACGGCCTGCTTCCAGTCCGCCTCCGACAGGATGACGTCGGGGTCGTAGTCGCTCTCGTCGTCGCTCTCGCCGTCGCTCTCGTCGTCGTCGCGGAGGAGGCGGTTCCGCTCCTTCTTGAGCCGCGACGCGCCGCGCGGCTTGGGCACGCTGCCCTGCAGCCGGTCCGCGAACTTGGTCGTCGCCGGCGCCGCGGCCGCGGGGGGCGTCGCGCCGGGCTTCTCGTAGGCGACGAGGCCGTCGAGGTCCGGCGCGGCGCCGCGCGCGGGCGCCGCCGCGGGCGCGGCGGCGGGCGCCGCGGGCCCGAGGCGCCGCAGCCGGTCCGCGAGGACCTTGCTCTCGCGCGCGCCGTCGTCGTAGCCCACGACGTACGACCGCCGCCCGGAGCCGAGCGGCCGCGAGCTCACGACGGAGCCCGCGAACCACTCGGCGCCGTGCTCGTAGCGCGCCTCGACGCGCGCGCCGACCTCGTACTCGGGCTCCGCCGGCGCGCTCGGCGCCGCCCGGGCCGCGCGCGGCGCCGCCTCGGCCGCGGCCTTCTTGCGCCGCGGCGCGGCCTTGGCGACGCGCGCCGGGTCGTCGTCCGCGGCGGCGGCGGCCGGCGCCGGCGGCTCCGCGGCGGGCGCCGGCGCGTCGTCCTTGTCCTTCTTCTTCTTGTGCTTCTTGCCGCGATGCGCCTTCTTGGGCGCGTCGCCGCCGCCGGACTGCTTGAGGAAGAAGGTGTAGAGGGCCACGGGCACGGCGACCGCCACCGCCACCTTCGCGAGCGCTTCCATCGAAGTCGTGCGGGTCGATGCTGGGTCGGTGCAAAGCGCTCGTCGTCGAGCGCGCGCTGGCGGGCGCTTGCCACGCGTCGAGGCGCAAGTCTCACGAGCTCCAGCTCGTGGGACTTGCAGTACAGATGTACTGCATGTTGCTCAAACGTTTCTCTCGGGTGGCCTTTGTGAGATGGGGCTGCTAGAGAGAGCGCCGACGATGCGAGGCGCAACGCGGCGCGCCGTGCTCTACGACTGCTTCGGCCTTCCGTGACGCGAGAGCTCTCCACCTCAGCCATGGCGCGCTTCGCGCGGCCCTTCGAGCCGCCCGCGAAGCGGCCGCCGCTGCGGGCCGGGCTCCGCGCCGAGGTCGGGACGCTGCGGAGCGAGGTGGCGCTGCTGCAGGAGGAGAACGCGCGCATGGCGTCGCAGAACCGCGAGTTCCTGGAGCTCGTGCACGGCCTCGTGGAGGACCGGCGGGCGGGCGGCGACGGCCTCGCGCTGCCGTCCTTATGCGACGGCTCCGACGACGCGGCCGACCGGTCGTCGCGGGCCGACGCGTCGGAGCTGTCGCGGTGCGCGCGGCGGCTCCGCGTCGTCCAGGCCGTGCTCCGCAAGGCCGTGCGCTGCGCCTGCGTCGGCGCCGCGCGCCTCGACTGGCTCGTCGGCCGCCACCTCGCCGCGTCCGCGGTGTCGCGGTGGCGCGCGGCCGCGGCCGAGGCCCTCGCGGTCCGCGAGGCCGCGCGCGCAACCCGCGGCGCGGCGGCGCGGCGCGTCGTCGCGCGGCGCGCGACCCGCGCGGTCGGCGCCGCCTTCCGCGCCTGGCGCCGCGCGTCCGCGGCGCCGCGCGGCGTCGA